GCCTTTACCTGCTGAGCCATCTAGCTGGCCCAGGAATAAATTTTTTTTAAGTAATAAAAGTCAGTACTTTTTAAAAAAAAAAAAATAGGCTGGAGCCTGGCGTGGTGGCGTATGCCTTTAATCCCAGCACTTGGGAGGCAGAGGCAGGTAGGTATCTGTGAGAGCGAGGCCAGTCTGGTATAAATTCTGAGTTCCACGTCAGCTGGAGTATATGCACACAGCCTTTGCTTCTGTGTCAGACTGTCAGCTCTCCTGAGGGGGTAAATCAAGAACAGAAAGATTTCTGTATGAGCAAGGAGTTGTCATCAGGTAAAGAGGAATCACAATGAGGTTCCAGGATGGTGACTGAAAGCTTAGAACAGAGTCTGAATTATAAGTAGGCAAACATATTGAATCAAGATGAAGGACAACAACCTGACAGTATTTGTTCTGAGAAATAGGACACAAGAAGGAAAATGGCAACCGTGTCCAGGAAGGACAGAGCAGGGCCAGGTCATGATGTATATTCATCTATGTGCCTCTGTCCCTTGAATGTGATATTGTTTGGGTATGCAGAGATTGAAGATGAATTGAGAACAGTAACCTGGGGAGGGGGGAAGGGGCTATTTTCTTTATTTTTTGAAGAAAGATCCTGACTCTGAAGCTTCAAGTGACGCTGTGGAAATCTGAAATGAGGGGATGTCATGAAGACAGCTTTTCTTTTTCTGAGGAAAAAAAATAGGCATGGGCTGCAGGTTTATTTATTTATTTGGTCTTTTTGAGACAGGGTCTCCCTGTAGCCCCAGCTGTCTTGGAACTCGCTATGTAGACCAGGCTAGCCTTGAACTCACAAAGATCCTCCTGCCTCTGCCTCCCAAGTGTTGGGATTAAAGACATGTGCCACCATGCCCAGCTTAAAATTTTTTTTTTAAAAAAGTTTCTTTGAGATAGGATCTCATGTAACTAAGTCTTCTGACCTTGGAAATCCTGATCTTCCTGCTGGGGATTATAAATATACCACCACACCTGGCTTTTATTTCTGTTTTTATTTTATTTATTTATTTATTTTTATTTTTTTGGTCTTTTTGAGACAGGGTCTCCCTGTAGCCCCAGCTGTCCTGGAACTCACTATGTAGACCAGGCTGGCCTTGAACTCACAGAGATCTGCCTGTCTCTGCCTCCCAAGTGCTGGGATTAAAGGCGTGTGCCACCACAACCAGCCTTAATTTATTTTTTATTTTATTTTACTTTATTTTTGTTGTTTTGAGACAGGGTCTCCCTGTAGCACTAGCTGACCTGGAACTCAGAATTTATACCAGACTGGCCTCGTTCTCACAGAGACCTGCCGCCAGAATGCTGGGGTTAAAGGCATGTGCCACTATACCTGCCTTTTCTTTTTATTTCTTCCTATTTTATTTATTTTTAAAAATATTTAATGTGTATGAGTATTATCTGCATTATTATGTAAGTGCACCCATGCCATGCAATGCTCACAGAGGTCAGAAGGGGTGACAAGAGGGTGTCAGATCCCCTGAAGCTGGAGTTATGTACAGTTGTTAGCCACTGTGTGGGTGATGGAGTTCAAACCTGGATCCTCTGCAAGAACAGCCAGTGCTCTTAACTGCTGAGTCATCTCTCCAGCCCCTTATTTATTTTTGAGCTAGGGTCTCACTGTGTATAAATACCCTGGCTGGTCTGGAACTTGTATAGATCCCTTTGTCTCTACTCCCAAAATGCTGGGATTAAAGGCACATGACACCATGCTTAGCATTTCTTTGTTTCTTTCCTGTATACATATTTTTTATTGTTGTTGAGACAGGGTCTCATTGTAGCCCCAGCTGGCCTGATACTCAATAGGTAGACCAAGCTGGCCTCAAATTCACAGAGATTCGCCTGCCTCTGCCTCCCAAGTGCTGTGATTAAAGGCACATGCCACCACATCCTGCCATTTCTTTGTTTCTTAATATGAGTTGTTATTGGAGAATTATGCTGACATTATGTTTGCTCCTGCCCTGGATTGGCATCTGCTGTTGATGATAGTGTCCTGTTAAAATCAGGATCATCTCTCTTAAGGTTTTAGTGTTGGAACTCTTGGATGTATAGGATATACCTAGATGGAGAATCAAAGAAAGATTCTTTCTTCCGGATAGAGAAAGATCTTCATGTGAAATAGTGGTAATAATAGAATGAGAGGAATAAAAGGGTAATAATCACATTGTTGTGTGATTATCCAAGTGTGATTCCAGAATGCAGATGAGTTAACTGATATTTAGTAAGCAATTTGCCCATTATCTTAGTCCAGGAATATTCTTAAGTACTATAAGAAAGTCTTTGCAGTATTCCCTGCATATAGCTCATTGGTCTTTTCCCCCTCTTGGCCCTGTAATATAGCGGTTATCTTATATTTTTCCCATCTCAGCACATTTGAGACCCATAATTTATTTCCATCAATAACAGCAAACTCACTGAGCCAGGTGGCCTATGCTCACAGTCTCAGCAGTCAGGAGGCTAAAACAGGAGAATCTATGCTAGCCTGGACTACATAGTGGTACTGGTCTCAGAAATAAAGCAAGCCAGGTGGGTTGGTTGTGCACACCTGTAATCCTAGCACTCAGGACTCAGAGGCAGGAGAATCACAGGCTGAAGGCCAATGTGGGATACATCACCCCATCTAAATAAATAAATACACAACCTGGGGTTGTGGCAAATGCCATAAGCACTTGGGAGGCAGAGGCAGGCTGATCTCTGTGAGTTCCAGGACAGTCAGGGCTACATAGTGGAGACCTTATCTCATACCAAAAGTAAAATAACAATAGTAAAAGATAAATAAATAACAAACTCTCAGGCAACAGAATATGAGGTTTGAAAAAGGCTCTTAATGGCCAAGCGCAGTGGCGCACTCCTCAAAAGCAGAGGCAGACAGATCTCTGTGAGTTCAAGGCCAGCCTGAGCTACACAGTGTGTTCCAGGCCAGCTGGGGCTATAGGGAGACACTATCAAAAAGACAAGGGGAGTAAAAAAGCCTCCAAAGATTGTGATACACCCTGTAGAGAATCCTGGCTATCGGCCACTAGGCCCTCTCTCTCTCCCCATGAAGGAACTGACCTATGGAGTAAGGTAACTGCCTGGTTCACCTGACAGCTGCTGTTGCAGTAAGGTGATATTGAGTAGCATGCAGTCAGAAGCCAAAACCCTTGCTGCCACACAGGGTTCGGGGAGGAGCTGGGTGGTGGAAGTTCAAAAATGACTCAGAAGTTTGTAATCTGCCAGTCCCATCAGTGAGTATAACCTGAATATACCGTACAAAGCCATTTAGCATTTTTCTGTGGAAGCCACTAGGTGCTGAATGGAGGTGTGTGGCTTGAATGTTACAGTTTTCAAGAATCCCCTACTAACAGTTGTTAGCACTACGTTTGAATGAAAATGTCCCCCATAGGGGCTGGAGAGACCACTGACTGCTCTTGCAGAAGACTGGGATTCGATCCCAGCACCCACATGGCAGTGAACAACTGTCCGTAACTCCAGTTCCAGGGGACCCGACAGCCTCTTCTGTCCTCTGTGGGCATTGCACAACACGGGTGCACTTATCTACATGCAGGCAATACACACACATAAAAATAATAAATAAATTTTTTTAAAAAAGAAAGTGCCGGGTGTGGTGGAGCACACCTTTAATCCCAGCACTTGGGAGGCAGAGGCAGGCAGTCTCTGTGAGTTTGAGGCCAGCCTGGTCTACATAGTGAGTTCCAAGACAGCTGGGGCTACAGGGAGACCCTGTCTCAAAAAGACCAAAAAAAAGAAGAGGAGGAAGAGGAAGAAGAAAAAAGAAGAATGTTTTGCATGCATGTAGGTGCACCTGTGTGTGGGAAGTCAGAAAGAGGGCATTGGATCCCCTGGAACTAGATTTACAGGTAGTTGCCACCATGTGGGTGCTGGAAACCAAACCTCTGTCCTTTTCAAGAGCAGCAAGTGTTCTTAATCGCTGAGCCATCTCTCCAGCCCCCACTTTGTGAGAAAGGGTCTCTTGTAGCCCATGCTGGGCTCAAATTCATATGTAACTGAGGTTGACCTGATTCTCCTGCCTCTGTCTCTCCTGAGTTCTGGGATTATGGCTGTACCACTACATGATGTTTATGGATTGCTGGGAATGGAATCCAAGGCCTCATGCATGTTAGGCAAGCACTTGAGTTATATCAAATGTGAAGAGATGGTTGGATGAGATAATCCTTACCTGTTCCTTTTTAGGGGGCTGACAGAACATGATTGAAGTTCCCATGATATATGATTATGTGTATGAGTGTATTGCCTGCATATATGTAAGTGGACCCATGTTGTGCAGTACCTGTGGAAGTCAGAAGATGGGGTCAGATTCTTTGGAACTGGAGTTATGGACAGATGTTAGTCACCATCAGAACCTGCAACACCCTAATTGCTGCTCTATGATTCTCTGGAAAATAAAACTCAGAATAGTTACAAATACTGTTGTAAAAGGGTGACCCTTCTCTCTATAGACTCTCCTAGAGGTTGCGTGTTGCTAGAAATGTGTTCTATTTTAGCAGCATCATTAAGTAATTGGACAGTTTCCCCATTTGTTTTCTTGGGGACCACTCAGAAATAGCTAGTTAGAGCTGGATGGACTAGATACTCTATGACAGGTGTCTTGTGCAGGAACCCAGGTGGTGTGAAAGAAACTCTTCAGGAAATGCTAGTGATGCTTGATGCTATGGATATGAGAAGCAGAGTTAAAACTCCTGCTGCTGTTTTCAGACTTCCAACTCCTTCCAGGATATTTATGGCCTGATAAAACATTATGCCAGGGGCTGGAGAGATGGCTCAGCAATTAAGAGCACTGGCTGCTCTTGCAGAGGATCCAGGTTCAATTCCCAGCACTCACATGGCAGCTAACATTGTGCCTAATTGTCCTAAGAGGCTAAAGTGAAAGAGATCGAGTTACTGTAACTCCTTGTTAATGCAAAGAAGGAAGGGGTATTACATAGTATTTTGTTTTTATTTCTTTGCAGAATGCATCCTGCCTTGTTCTTGCTGCCCGGCATGCCAGTGCCTCTTCCGTGGTAAGATCTGGACTGAATCATTGGGGCAGTTTGACCCTGGGACAGAGTGTTTGGCAACTACCTGGCTTATTATCTTGAGTCTCTTGGAAGTAGCCAATAATTATTGCTGGGTTTTTTTTTGGGGGGGGGGTTGGCCTTTTTGAGACAGGGTCTCCCTGTAGCCCCAGCTGTCCTGGAACTCACTATGTAGACCAGGCTGGCCTCAGACTCACAGAGATCTGCCTGCCTCTGCTTCCCGAGTGCTGGGATTAAAGGCATGTGCTACCACGCCTGGCTAATTATTGTTGTTTTAAGAAATAATTTACTTGATGGTTTAGTGAGATGGAACTAGCAAATGTTTTGTGTGTGCTTGTGTGTGTTGCTGGGCATCAAACAGAGGACATCACAAGCAAGCATTTTCTCCATAACCCCTCTAAATGACATTAAATTTACCATTAAAGCTTTTTTTTTTTTTTTTTTTTTTTGGAGACAGGGTCTCCCTATAGCCCCAGCTGACCTGGAACTCATTATGTGGACCAGTCTGGCCTCAGTCTCACAGAGATCCACCTGCTTCTGCCCCACAAGTGCTGGGATTAAAGGCATGCGCCACTACACCCAGCTCCATTAAAAATTATTTTAAAGCTGGGCGAGGTAGCGCACGCATTAATCCCAGCACTCGGGAGGCAGAGGCAGGTGGATCTCTTGAGTTCAAGGCCAGTCTGGTTTCCATTAGCAAATCCAGGCCAGCTGCAGCTACAGGGAGACCTTGTCTCAAAAAGAGACACACACACACACACACAAATTATTTTAATTAAATTTTTTTTTTTATTTTTGTGTGTGAATGTCTTGCCTGCATGTATGGATGACCACCACATGCCTGCAGTACTTGTGTAGGCCAGAAAATAGTATTGGAGCCCCTGGAACTGGAATTACAGATGGTTGTGAGCCACCATGTAGGTGCTGGGAACCAAACCTAGGTCCTCTGCAAGAGTAGTCAGTGCTTTTAAATGCTGAGCCATCCCTCCAGTCCCTGAAAAATGTTTTTATTTTATTTTGTTTGATTCTTGAAACAAGGTCTTATATACCCCAGGCTGGCCTCACACTGCCTATCTTTCTGACTCAGCCTCTTGAGAACTGGGATTACAGGTGTGCACCACCATGCCTGACTTCATTTTAATCACTTAAGTTTATGGTTTAGTGCTAGTATACCTTCATATTGTTTTGCAACTATTGTCTCCATCCATATCTAGTGCATTTTCATCTCTACAAAATCAAAGTCTACTTACTGAACAAAAGCCTCCATTCCCTTCTCCCACTGCCTGGCAAATAGAGAAAACCAAATGCAGTCTTCATAGGTGGAAACAAACTGTCTATCACTTGGCTCTTCTCTTTCTAGAATTTGAAAGATATATTGGCCAATATGATACCTAAGGAGCAGGCCAAAATTAAGGCCTTCAGGCAGAAACATGGCAAGACAGTGGTGGGTCAAATCACCGTGGACATGGTAAGTGTTATGATATCTTAGCTGAGAAAAGTAGCCTTGTAATAATGTTTGTACAAAAAGCATTCTGTCCCATACAATGAAATGTTGGGACTTTCAGTATTCATTAGAGAGTACTTGTTCTTTTCTATAAATTTAACAGTTAAACCTAACCTTATCTACCTATGACAAAGATGAATGTAATTTCTAGTTCTGTTCCCAACCTTTCAGCTTTATGGCCAGAACTGTGTTTTGAATTGATGTTCTACCAGTCATCAGGCAAAACTATAGCCCTAGTAAATCCTATAGAACAGCCTTAAAATTTTCAGCATTTCAACTAAGTTTTTTAGCCATTGGTCTCCTTCCCCATAATAGCTCTCATTCCCTTTAGTTGGGAGTATGGAGAAGGGAGGTTAAGAATGGGCAGGAGAAAAGGTAAATACAACTAAGGAAGCAAGCAGAGGAAGAAACATTAAAGAAAATAATTTCTCAACTTAATTTTTTTCCCCCTTTTTTGGCCTTTTGAGACAGGGTCTCCCTGTAGCTCCAGCTGACCAGTCTGGAACTCACTATGTAGACCAGACTGGCCCCAATCTCACAGAGATCCGCCTGCCTCCCAAGCGCTGGGATTAAAGGCGTGTGCCACCATGCCTGGGTCAACTTAGAATTTTTGTTGTAACATTAGCAGCCTTTTTGCTAACTTTCTGTGTTTAGTTCTTTAGTAATTGCACTCCCCAGAAATCTCCTAAGTGTGATGTTGAGAGTGAGAGAATAGATTTCCTCTCCTGGGTTCCATGAACCTCTAACAAGCTCTAGTCTGAACCATTCTGATGTCTGGTTATATCTTTCTTTCTTTTAGATGTATGGTGGCATGAGAGGCATGAAAGGACTTGTGTATGAAACATCAGTTCTTGATCCTGATGAGGTAAGACACGATTGTGTCCATCACTAATTGTCATTGAGTTTACTGACCATGCAAACCAATTTGAAAACCACCCAGCACAGTAGACAGTGGGTATATAGAGACAGAATAACTGAAGAACAAGTTTGCCTTTTTTGTACAAAAGCAGAAGTAAATATGTGAAGAGTTGATCTTTGAAAGTTCTGTGTGATTTTTTTGTTTTGTTTTGTTTTTTCTCTAACTTTTTTTTTTGTTTTTTTTGAGACAGGATCTCCCTGTAGCCCCAGCTGTCCTGGAACTCACTATATAGACCAGGCTGGCCTTGAACTCACAGAGATCCTCCTGCCTCTGCCTCCTGAATGCTGGGATTAAAGGTGTGCGCCACCATGCCTGGCTTTTCTAACTTTTTAAAAATTACATTTATGGGGTTGGATAGAGGGCTCAGTGGTTAAGACCACAGAAGACCTGGGTTCAATTCCCAGCATCCACATGGCAGCTAACAACCATCTGAAACTCCAGTTCCAGGGGATCAGACACCCTCTTCTGTCCTCTGAACGCACTGTAAGACACGGGTGCACTTACATATATATAGGCATAACACTCATACACATAAAATAAAAATAAGTAAAAAAATAATGATAAAATAAGTAAGTCTTTCAGAAAAAAAACTTGTGTGTGTATGTACGTGCTTCCACAGGGCTATCACATTGCAGGCAGGAATCAGTTCTCTCCCTCTGCTGTGGGTCATGGGGATCAAACTTAGGTCACCAGGCTTAATGGCAAGTGTCTTACCAACTGAACCATCTCACCAGCCCTGAAAGTTCTCGTTCTACCTTGTGAAAGTGTCTGATATGAGACTTACAGGTTATTAATTTTCTTTCTTCTCTCTCAAAGGGCATCCGATTCCGGGGCTATAGTATCCCTGAATGCCAGAAAATGCTGCCCAAGGCAAAAGGTGGGGAAGAACCCCTGCCTGAGGGTTTATTTTGGCTGCTGGTAACTGGACAGATCCCCACTGAGGAGCAGGTACAGCCAATGAGATTGGCCCTTCCTATTTCCCTTCTTTGCCCTTGTCTAATCTTAGATACTTAATCTTTATCTGCCTATCTGCCTGTAGGTAGTACTTTATAGGACCTTGCAGCGAGGGGAAGAAATCAGCAGAGTTCTGCTAAATAAGTAGATTGTATTGAACACTCTTGAAGTGTCTTTTTCGTTTGTTCAAAAATATTTTTATTGATCTAAGAATTTCATACAATGTATTTTGATCATAATCATACCCCCACTCCTCTTTCCATCCCACCTCACTAGCCCCCCTGACTTCATGCCCAATCTATTATTGTTTGGTTTTTTTTGTTTTTTGTTTTTTGTTTTTTAAGGGGAATCCAAAGCCGCCTTCTGACTTCTGCGGCATGCGGCATTGCATGACATGGGTGCACTCACATACACACATAAAAATAATAAATAAAATATTTTAAAAAAAGCCTATCAAATCTACTCTGTGTTTCCCAAAATAAACCAGTGAGAGAGAGAGTATAAAAACCTAACAGACCAACAAAATTATAGTCTTTTGACTCTACTTTTTATTGGTTGGTTGTTAATCTCCCAAAAGCTAACCATTTATTCAAAGGTCAGTAAATAAATATTTTAGGGTTTTCAGATTCTGTTGTTGAAGAAAAAAAACAACATAGACAATAAATAATCTACATGAGTATATTCCAGTGGAAGTTAATTGTGGACATTGATCTTGAAGTATCTTTACCCAGGTATTATTGTTCTTTTTTTTTCTTACTGGTGTCCTGAGCAGTATCTCCTTTTCCATAGGTGTCTTGGCTCTCACAAGAATGGGCAAAAAGGGCAGCTCTCCCTTCTCATGTGGTTACCATGCTGGACAACTTTCCTACCAATCTACACCCCATGTCTCAGCTCAGTGCAGCTGTTACAGCCCTCAACAGTGAAAGTAACTTTGCCCGGGCCTATGCAGAGGGAATCAACCGAACTAAGTACTGGGAGGTAGGAAACTTGTGTTGGATGACATGGAGTGTGATGGGAATTCAGAGGCCATGAATGTGGAGGGAGAAAGGGGAATGTAGACTCTTTAGAAAAAGTGCTTCTCCAAGTTGTACCAGAAGCTTAACAAATTTTCAGAAATGGGAACTATATAGTGCATATGCTTAGCATGATATGGCCCTGAGTTTAACCCTCAGCCCTCAAAAAATGTCTTTGTAGGATGGTACACTTGTTTTTTGTTAAAATTATAAAGAAAATAGAGCATTTTTTCCTCAACCTTTTTGTTTGTTTTACATGTATTGATTTGTTTATTTTGTGTGTGTGCACCTTGGCCTGGCATGCATATGGAGACCAGAGGACAGCTTGCAGGAGTCATTTTTCTCCTTCCACCCTGTGGGTCCCAGGGATCAAACTCAGGTTGTCAAACTTGGTGACAGGCACCTTTACCCACTGAGCCATTTCACCAGTTCCAAATAAGAACTTTTGAGAAACCTTACAACAAGCACCTTAATCTACTGAGCCATCTATCTAGCCCTCCTTTTTGTTTTGTTTTAAAAGATTTTATTTATGTGCATGTGTTGTATGGGTCCAAGGAAGCCAAAAGAGAATGTCAGAGACCCTGGAGCTGTAATTACAGGAGGTTGTAAGCCATCTGATAATGGGTGTTGGGAGCCCAACTCAGACCATCTGGAAGAACAGCAAAACCTCTTAACCACTAGCTGTTTCTCCAGCCCTTTTCTGTTTTCTTTTGGGTTTTATTCATTGTTATTCATTTGTTTTTTTGTTTGTTTTTTATGTGTATGACTGTTATGCCTGCATGTAAGTGCCCCCATGTCATGCAGGGCCCGAGGAGGACAGAAGAGGCTGTTGGATCCCCTGGAACTGGAGTTATGGACAGTTGTTA